CTGTGGGTTTGGGAATTCCTGCTGCTTTGATGCTAATCTCTTGCGCACTCTTTTACTCTGGAACCAAATATTACGTCAAAGTTAAAGCAACAGGTCCAGCTCCAGTCACAAGTATAGTTCAAGTTATAGTTGTGGCTATAAAGAAAAGAAGTCTGAATCTACAACAATTTACATGGGATTCTCTCTTTACCTATATTTCTCCCCAGTCTATTAACTCCAAGCTTCCTCACACGTCTCAGTTCAGGTAACCATCATCATGTATTTAGGAGGCTATTTGGAGTAACTTACTAAATATCAATCACAGTCGAATAATTAAAAAATTATTATTTTTTAATATTCGAAGCGTTTTTCGGTAGCAATACTCCATTTGAAAAACTTTGATGTGATAGTCAAAATCATGCACTGCAAACCGGTTTTTAAAACCATGCTCAAAACCTATTTATGCTTGTGAAAGTAGCATATGACTTTCTTACACACTTTCAACGAGATTTAAAGAGGGACAAAGACTTTTGGATACTCGAGAAGAGGACTAGAAATTAATACATGCGATTGATATAATTGATAATATGCGTATCAAGAAAATAATCTGAGTCATAATTCATTAAGTAATAAAAAATGAACAGTTGATATATCATATATTTGTTATGCGTGTACACATGCACGTAATAACCACTAAAACTACTTTATTCTTTAAAATAGGTTACTAAAAGACTATAATCCTCGAATTATCAAAACAAGCTCTTCTTAACTTCCTAGTAAACTTCACAATTCAACCTATGATAGGCCATAATAAAAGTGATTGGTTACATAAAAACGTTTAATGTTCATAACTTGATAATTGATGTTCACAGGTTCCTTGACAAAGCTGCTATCATAACTCCAGAAGATGGTATAAACCCTGACGGGTCAGCATCCGATCCTTGGAGGCTGTGCAGCATGCAACAAGTGGAAGAGATGAAATGCTTGCTGAGACTGATTCCCATTTGGTTTTCAGGCATTTTCTTCTACGTTGCCCTCGTCCAACAGAGCACAATGCTGATCTTCCAAGCCCTTCAATCCGACAGAAGCGTCCTCAATACAAGCTTCAAGATCCCAGCAGCATCCTACACCATCTTCCAGATGATGAGCCTCACCATATGGCTTCCCATCTACGACCGAATAATCGTGCCTTCACTCCAAAGGGTCACAAAGAAAGAGGGTGGCATCACGGTTCTTCAAAGAATGGGCATTGGCATGTTCCTCTCTATACTCTGCATGATGTTGTCTGGTGTGGTGGAAGAGCGGAGAAGGGCTTTGGCTTTGTACAACCCT